AAAAGAAAGAACAGAGAAAAAGGGGAAAAAGGGGAAAAAAAGGAGTGGAGAAAGAAAGGAAGAGACGGGAAAAACAAAAAAGGAAAAAAAGGAAAAAGGGAAAAAAGGAAAAAAAAAAGAAAAGAGGAGAAGAGAGAGAAAGACACGAGATAGAAAGAACGAGAGAAAGAAAGAGAAAGAACGAAAAGAGACGGGGAGAGAGGAAAGAAAGACGAGAGAGAGAAAGAGACGAGAGAGAGAAAGAGACGAGAAAAGGAAAGAGAAGAGAGAGAAAAGAGGAAAAAGAGAGAGAAAGAGAAAAAGGGAAAGAGGAAAAAGGGAGAGAAAGAAGACGAGAGAAAGAAAGAGAACGAAGAGGGGAAAGAGACGAGAGAAAAAAGAGAGAGAGAAGAAAGAGACAGAGAGAGAAAGAGAAGAGAGAGAAAAGACGAGAGGAGAAAGAGACGAGAGAGGGAAAGAAAGAGACGAGAGAAGAAAGAGACGAGAGAGAGAAAGAGACAAAGAGAAAGAGACGAAAGAGAACGAGAAAAGGAAAAGAAAGAGAAGAGAGAGAAAAGAAGAAAAGAAGAGCGAGAGAGAGAAAGGGGACAAAGAGAGAGAAAGAACGAGGGGAGAGAAAGGGGACGGGGTAAAAAAAGAAGAAAGAGACGAGAGAGAGAAAGAGACGAGAGAGAGAAAGAGACGAGAGAGAGAAAGAGACGAGAGAGAGAAAGAGACGAGAGAGAGAAAGAGACGAGAAGAGAAAGAGACAGAGAGAGAAAAAGACGAGAGAGAAAAAAAACGAGAGAGGAAAGAGGAGAGAGAGAAAAGAGACGAGAGAGGAAAGAGACAGAGAGAGAAAAGAGACCGAGGAGAGAAAGAGACGAAGAGAGAGAAAGAGGAGAAAAGAGAGAAGAGAAAGAGACGACAGAGAGAAAAAGAGACGAGAGAGAAAAAGGACGAGGAGAGAAAGAGACGAGGGGAGAGGAAAGAGAGGGAAGAGAGAGAAGAGACGAGAGAGAGAAGACAAAGAGAGAGAAAAGAGCGAGAGGAGAAAGAACGACAGAGAGAGAAAGAGACGACAGAGAGAGAGAAAGAGAGACGACGAGAGAGAGACAGAGAGAGACGACAGAGAGAGACGACAGGAGAAGGGAGACAGAGAGAGGACGGGAGAAGAAGAGGAGAGAGACAGAGATAGGGGAGACGACAGAGACGACAGAGATAGGGAGAGACGCAGAGATAGGGAGAGACGACAGAGATAGAGAGGACGACAGAGATAGAGAGGACGACAGAGATGAGAGGGGACGACAGAGTAGAGAGGACGACAGAGATCGAAGACGACAGAGAGAGAGAGAAAGACGACAGAGGAGAGAGAGACGACAGAGAGAGACGACAGAGAGAGAGACGACAGAGAGAGAGAGACGACAGGGAGAGAGAGAGAGGGGAGAGAGAGAGAGAGAGAGAGAGAGAGGAGAGGAAAGAGAGGAGGAGAGAGGAGACAGGAGGAGAAGAGAGAGAGAGAGAGAGAGAGAGAGAGATTCTTCAAGCTCTGTATAAACACTAGTACCTCTGTACTAGCATGTGCAATGTACAGACCTCAGTGGCAACATGCAGACCCCATCAACTTCCTAATGGAAAATATTGACTCCCTTCTGCTACAACACAACTGTCAACATATTATAATTGTTGGTGACCTCAACCAGCACCTTATGCAGAGGGACTTTGAATACCTTCTTGCAGTCTTTGACATGAGAAACTTTGTTGATTTCCCTACTCATATCTCTGGCTCCTCCCTTGACCCAGTAGTGAGTGATCTGGCAGAAGGCTTTAGTCACTTGTCACCTCTCGGCTATGTTGGATCGTCTGACCACAAGGCTGTTTTTACGACACTTAAGATCCCAACAGAACGAGGTGAGGAGTCCACACGCACAACCTGGCTATGGGAAGGAGGTAATTGGCCAGCCCTTTGCTCTGAGCTCGCCCCCACCGATTGGAATGCTCTTCTCCAAGGGGATGTTGACAACCAAGTGAAAGCCTTCACTGGACACATCCTTAATCTACAACAAGAACACATTCCTCACCGTCAATATGTGACGAAGCCTACAGATCAGCCTTGGTTTGGCTTTCGTTGTAGAGAGGCTGCTAACTCCCTAAGTACAAAGCATGGCGAAGGTATAAGAGACATCCTACCACCTATAACAGGACTTGCACAGGCAAGCCTGTAGGCATATGGGTGATGTTCAAATTGGGCCATTGCTAAAATGGGAGGTGGACACTAAAAGAAGCTTGCATCAGTAGGGTAGGCCCCAAAACTGGTGGTCCCTGGTCAAGGACAGACAAGGTTATCTGCCTGATAAACTTATTCCACCTCTAAATCGACAGGATGGGACCACCTCTACTAGTAGTCAAGAGAAGGCGGACCTCTTTGCTGAACACTTTGCTACCAAAATGCAAGTTCCTGATCCAGCAAGGGTCCCTCCTGGGCTAGCTGCAAGAACTGTCAAAACTGTCAGTGGTGACAATAAGGCAGGAGGAGGTGCATTTCCTTCTTAAATCGCTGGACCAAGAAAAGGCTGTGGGACCAGACAAGTTGAGCCCAAGATTGTTGAGAAGATGTGCAGACCAGCTAGCAGCACCTCTAACTCGCATCTTTCAGCACTGCCTAGTACAGTGAAAATGGCCCTCTCTATGGAAAGAGGCAAATGTAGTCCCTGTTCACAAAAAGAAGAGCAGAGCAGAAATCAGCAACTACAGACCAGTGTCACTCTTGTCAATCACTGGTAGATCCTTGAGACAATAATCTCAAGACAAATGACAGAGTTTTTTGACTACCACTCACTACTTTGTGATCGTCAATATGGCTTCAGGAAAGGTTACTCTGCTGCTGATCTGTTGTTAAACCTCTCCACTAAGTGGCACCAGTCACTGGATGAATCCAAAGTCAGCTGTGTGGTAGCACTGGACATTGCTGGCGCTTTCGACCGGGTGTGGCACCAGGGCCTCTTAGCAAAACTTCAAGCACTGGGAATTGCGGCTCTACGCTATGTCTCCTCAGTGATTACCTTCATGGTAGATCTCTAAGTGTAGTTCTCAATGGAACGGAATCAGCAAGACATCCTATTGGGGCAAGTGTTCCACAAGGAAGCGTGCTGGGTCCATTGTTATGGAATGTCTACTTCAACGACCTTCTTCATCTCATCCCAGAATCACATGCATTTGCAGACGACTGTACACTGACATTCACTTATCCAAGAGAAGAATGCCAGCTGCTCTAAGCTACATCAAATCACCAGCTGAGAGCTGTATCAGCTTGGGGAAAATAGATGGCAAGTAACATTTGCACCTGAGAAAACGCAAATGATGATCGTCTCTAGGCACCCATGATTGTAATGCTGGGGCAGTAGTAAGGATGAATGGGAGGGTGTTGGCACCTGGAGAAGAAGTTGATATCCTTGGGGTGAAATTTGACTCCAAACTAACCATGAAGAACCATGTTGTAAATCTTGCAAACAAGGCAGCCAGGAAGCTTACAGCACTTCGCCGTTATCTCGCATCTGCTTGACAGTAGAGGTTGCAAGATCCTGTACGAGGCACAAGTACGCTCACACCTTGAGAATGCTCCACTTTCTTGGTGTGCCTGCCCCCCCCCCCTCTCATCTGCGACTGCTTGCCAGAGTAGAGAACAGAGCAAGACGTCTCATCTCTCGCATGGACCCATCCTGGATAGATCTGTCATTTCAACAGAGCCTTCAACATAGGAGGGATATGGGTGGCCTTACTGTTATGTACAAGGCCAATATTGTCGAAATACCACACTTGGATCCACTTCGAGGACAGCGTGAAACAAGCTTTTACGCCACAAGACGGACAGAAAGCAGCAACTTCACTCTGGCTGTACCCTTCTCCAGAACATCACTCTGAGATCATACATACCCAGGATGACTCGAGTATGGAACACATTCGTACAGCATAATGATGTCAACGAGATAAAGTCAGTTGATCAAATGAAAATGCTGGCCGACAGATGGCTCCAACTTCATCCTGTTCCCTACTTTTATGTCTCATAACAATAAAAATGCTTTCAAATGAGCTGATGTAGGTAACAGCTCTTAGCTTGTCAATAAAGTTAGGAATCCTTAACCTGTAAATAGCTTGTCAATAAAGATAGGGATCCTTAACCTTGTCAAACCCTGTGTAAAAAAAAAAGAGAAGACAGAGAGAGAGAGAGAGAGAGAGAGAGAGAGAGGGAAGACAAAGAGAGAGGGAAGACAGAGGGAAGACAAAGAGACGACAAAGAGAGAGAGACGACAAAGAGAGAGATACAAAGAGAGAGAGACGACAAAGAGAGAGAGACGACAAAGAGAGACGACAAAGAGAGAGAGACGACAAAGAGAGAGAGACGACAAAGAGAGAGAGAAAGACAAAGAGAGAGAGACGACAAAGAGAGAGAGACGACAAAGAGAGAGAGACAAAGAAGAGAGAGAGAGAGACGACAAAGAGACAGAGAGACGACAGAGAGAGAGACGACAAAGAGAGAGAGAGACGACAAAGAGAGAGAGAGACGACGAAGAGAGAGAGAGACGACAAAGAGAGAGAGAGACGACAGAGAGAGAGACGACAAAGAGAGAGAGAGACGACAAAGAGAGAGAGAGACGACACAAAGAGAGAGAGAGACGACAAGAGAGAGAGAGACGACAAAGAGAGAGACGACAAAGAGAGGAGAGACGACAAAGAGAGAGAGAGACGACAAAGAGAGAGAGAGACGACAAGAGAGAGAGAGACGACAAAGAGAGAGAGAGGACGACAAAGAGAGAGAGAGACGACAAAGAGAGAGAGAGACGACAAAGAGAGAGAGAGACGACAAAGAGAGAGAGAGACGACAAGAGAGAGAGAGACGACAAAGAGAGAGAGAGACGACAAAGAGAGAGAGAGACGACAAAGAGAGACGAGAGACGACAAAGAGAGAGAGAGACGACAAAGAGAGAGAGAGACGACAAGAGAGAGAGGACGACAAAGAGAGAGAGAGACGACAAAGAGAGAGAGAGACGACAAAGAGAGAGAGAGACGACAAAGAGAGAGAGAGACGACAAAGAGAGAGAGAGACGACAAAGAGAGAGAGAGACGACAAAGAGAGAGAGAGACGACAAGAGAGAGAGAGACGACAAAGAGAGAGAGAGACGACAAAGAGAGAGAGAGACGACAAAGAGGAGAGAGACGACAAAGAGAGAGAGACGACAAAGAGAGGATAGACGACAAAGAGAGAGAGAGACGACAAAGAGAGAGAGAGAGACGACAAAGAGAGAGAGAGACGACAAAGAGAGAGAGAGACGACAAAGAGAGAGAGAGACGACAAAGTGAGAGAGAGACGACAAAGAGAGAGAGAGAGACGACAAAGAGAGAGAGAGACGACAAAGAGAGAGAGACGACAAAGAGAGAGAGAGACGACAAAGAGAGAGAGAGACGACAAAGAGAGAGAGAGACGACAAAGAGAGAGAGACGACAAAGAGAGAGAGAGACGACAAAGAGAGAGAGAGACGACAAAGAGAGAGAGAGACGACAAAGAGAGAGAGAGACGACAAAGAGAGAGAGAGACGACAAAGAGAGAGAGAGACGACAAAGAGAGAGAGAGACACAAAGAGAGAAGAGACGACAAGAGAGAGGAGACGACAAAGAGAGAGAGAGACAAAGAGAGAGAGAGACAAGAGAGAGAGACGACAAAGAGAGACGACAAAGAGGGAGACGACAAAGAGAATAGACGCAAAGAGATAGAGCGACAAAAAGGGTAGAGAGACAAAAAGAAAGAGCTGGACAGT